CCTCATTTGCAACTTTCGTGACAGTTCCTTGAAATCATGGTCAATTTAGAAATTATCATAAATTCAATTTTCGAACTTTGTGGCAGCAAAAGTTGAATACATGAGGGGAGGGTGACCGCTGAAAGCATTCAAACGAAGAGAGATATGAGATACTCAATAACGGCCAAATTTCCAATCCAACAAAGACTGAAGGACAATCGTACGTGGCGTTGACTACACACTATTCCCATCCTTAGAGTGCAGAAATAAGGTAAATAATCAATCGCACTACATAAAACAAAGATATAGCCCAATGAGTTAGTAAAAATGCGGGGGAAAACAGTATTTAGAGTGATAGATTTATCACTTGTTACTTTACGTAGAGCAGGGGAGATATTCAAGTTCGGCTGGGACTTTAGGTTCACAATTACCAGCTGAGATGCATGCTTTGCGGTCTTAGTGCAGTAGCAGACGACAGAACCATTTAGTTAAAACTACAAACAGATGCCCATTTCTTAAAACAATTCCAGTCCAAGAAGTACATGGGGGCAGATGCTAGTGGTGATTGAATCCCTTGTAAGTGGAGACGTAAAACTCATTTTGAGAGTGTCAAGTGCTTCTTACTTTTTGACTGAACGCTCAAAAAGGAATGGGATTAGTTTTAAGGGCATTAAAGACTACCAACCATACAGTTTCGTGTCAGATTGCCAGCCTACTGCACAGCATTCATCCCTTCGATTAACATTCAGCGAAATGAATGCCCGATCGGAAAGCAACTTCTCCTGGAAGTTTACAAGGGACCAATAGTCCTGTAAAAACGGTAACATAGGCTATTCGTAACCCCTCGCAACTTTAATATGTTAACGGAGTTGGGATGTCAGGAAAAAAGAAGTAAATGCCGTAATGAACTGGAGAATCTTGTGGATAAGAAGTCCTGATTTCACTTTGAAGTCAAAAAAGCATTAAAGCAATTGGCGCAACAGATTTCTTACCAATGACGAAGTACAGCCCAATGCTTAAGTCAGTCTGAAGGTGCCGAGTTAAGAAGTCATGGCTTAAAAAATTGCGTAACCAGATGTCATACAACGAAAAAGGTTCAGTAAAAGAGTCAAAAGTGGAAAATAAAATAGGCCTACAAAATCCGAAAAACGATGATTTAGAGATAGATTGGAAGACCACCGTTCGGACTTCTCGTTGCCATCATAATTGACGTGTTTGATTTCACTACCCTCCGAGTCACGGCAGGCCTTAAGTAGTAAAATCGGATGCAACTTTTAGGCATAAAAATACACTTCTTAACCTTAATGAAGCTCAAACTTGCACAAAGAGTGCATTTAATTAATTAAGTTAGGGACTAAGTCACACGATCACCATTCTCTCGGCTTTACTTCACTTCTTATTGACAGGGTTAGTGCCAAAAACATGCAAGCAAACTTTCAGCCATTTTCCATGCAAATTACTTTGTAGATGGTGAACTTAACCTAGCAAGAAAGAGAAGGATCAGTGGGGAGAATAACGAACCTGGAGACAACTCAACCATGCTAGCATCGCATTACGGTTCTCCGCTTGGTATGTGTATTTCCGGCCACTGCTACAATTCCAAAACAGATTGAAGGTCCATTTAGATGAATGGCCAAACCCCAAAACAAGTCTATTGTTTATGGAAAGGATATGTTACTAATTGTTAAAGTACTGATCTGTAAATTGTTTTAGGTGATAAAATACCTTATTTAGTCTGCTGGTATTTTCTACTTCTTTTCATTAAATCGCCAAGCAATTTTAAAAGTATTCAATCTTTTAGAGATCTGGTGAAAAAAAATACTCACCGAAATTGGAAATACATTAATTTTTCTTTCAATTAGGGCAAACTAGAAGTGAGAGTGATGGAATAAGCTGGTTCTACTCTTTCACCCGTAGGTCATAATCACTACAGTTTGACTGACGGTTCACTGACTCGGATGGCAAGAATTAAACGGCGGTAAATATATGTTAAAAGAACTAAACTGACCTCTCTTACGTTTAAGATGGTGTTTAAATGAGGACTTTCCACCCGAGTAGGTTGTGCAACCATGTTTAAAAAACAAAATTCTGTTTTCCCCTAAATTATCGAGAAGCACAAATAACAATGCAACATTTCCATGACGCTTACTTGAAAATATATGGAGTCGCTCCACTATTTGGATCAGAACAGCAGTTAAACTGGCACATTATCGTTCATATTTTTTCCATTTTTACACTAGATTTAGATGTGTAAGTTTTTAGCTGTACTTCTGAATTGTTACAGCTTTTAATTTGTGATTTTCAAAAAAATATCTTGCAATATTTGGGTCATATTATGGCATAGTGGCGCATATTTTCCTAAATTCGATCTTTTACGACAAACTCGTTTAATAAAAGCATTCGTTTGGGGTTGGCTGCTTTTATTTTCAGTAGTACATTTACTTATCTAGTTAAATTTACTTAATTGCCAAGTCACTATTGCTGCGTAGCAGGCGCACGTAAATAGCGTCCTTCACCCAATTTCGCTTCCGTACAATTCGTCTAGGTAGCCTTTATTCCGCACCGTATGTCAATAGCATCTTTATTAAAAAATGTGCTTTTTCCTTAGCTCTCTAAAATGGCACGTTGTGGTATATTAGTTTTGCTTACCATTGCGCCATGTGCTAACAAAAAAGTTTACTTCATCAGCAATAATAACATGGTAAACACTTAAATTTCGATCACACTGAGAAGTCGCAATAGCTCACTACATTGTACTACACGCCTATTTAAAATTTGAACTCACAAAATGCTGAAAGTGGACGGGCTCTCAGGTTCAACACGAAAGGCAGCATTTATCAGGGGAACAGTGTAAAGGGGATCCTTTTTGGGATTACTGGCAGATTCTTCATCATGAAAAGCCAACAATTTGAAACTGATTGCGTCCAATACCACCCATTCGCGTCTAGCTTTTCGTCGAGCAAAGAGAGGACCTTAAAAATAAGGTTTTTTTCTTAATTAAAAGTCATTATATAGGATGGTGAAGTATTTTGTGGCCTATCAGTAAATTCCCAAGGTCTGACGAAGAAATGAACATTTTTGTTGTGGAGCAAAAATCTCTCTAACCTCTAATTGAAATAATCAAATGATTTTCCCAATCCAAGTGTAAAAATACGTCATTCTACACGATTTTGATAAGGTGGACAGTTGAATGTGCTAGCACACTAAGGGAGATTTTCAATGGTGCTGTACGCGCAATTCCAATGAACCATCTTGGTGAGTCAATAGATGTTCCACCCGATGTTGTATTATGGTGGCTTACTCCAGCTTCATTGATGTCACTCAATATCGCAAGGCCTCGTGTAGACTCTAGGCATGCTATGCTCCTTGATACGATGGGTGAGGTACTAGGCAAGGTCACTGGAAGCATAAACTCAATCCACACAAATGCAAACCCATGAATTTAATCAATTCAGCGGCGTTCACTTTTGCAAATTCGTGTAGGCGGAGCCACTGCCTTAGCACCAACCTGTGCAGGCTCTAAGGCGTAAATTACTATCCAATGCACAGGAGTCTGTATGGCTACGCTCGTGGAGGTTAGTAGTTTAGCTAGTAACCGCCACTTAGATTGAAGGTGCCATTAACCAACACCATCAATTAACAACCAATTAATTTAACTGAGTGTGATCGCCTGATTAGTAGCCAGAAGTCCAGTTTTGGTCTTGAACCCACAAACTCTGGTTTTTTCATGCTTGAGCCAAAGAACACTGAAATAATTTAACTGCACCTCTGAGAATAGCTTTGTTGAACATAGGTGCGTAACCAGTCTTACCAGCTACAGACCATTTGACAATGAGATATTACTGGGTGATACAAAGTGACTCGGAGGAGTAGCAAGTGAGAATGCACAGGAGGATTTCAAAGAGACTGTATTTTTATCAAGTGAAGCTGTTTCAAACTAATTTAAGAAGTCTGTAGGGAAAGTTTTACGAAACCACTGCTACTCTATTGCAGTGATAGTGATGTTCCATGTCACAACAGGCAAAAAACTGCCGGAAGAAGGTATTTCGCTGAGTAAATAATAATCCCTATTGATAACTTACGGTGTTTTTGCCATCTCCTGACCCAGTCGTAAGCACGAAGCACGTGCTCCGCCCTAGATCCCAAGTTAGAATACATTTTTCTGAGTGAATAAAAGTACACATCTTTAGCGCACATTGTCGACCTAAGTGAACGTAGTGCTGCGAATGCAAGTCTTCACTCAAATCGCTACAGTCAGATGACTGTGTTCTCACTTTCATCAAATTGGTAATAAAAGTGTTATTCCAGATGATGGACATTTCACTGAGTAGATTGTTTTGGAGACATTGTATGGTAGTTAAAAATGTATATTATTAGTTCTCGCATGGGACATCGTCGTCTCCCCACAATCTGTGTGAGATGCATGTAAGACCGTCGTGTGCCAACGTTAATACTTATTTGTAAGGGTCTTAATAAGCAGAATACCATCTCCTAAGAAGGTACGCGGCCAAATTTAGAGTCATAAAGCGTGGTTACTTCGGAAATAAAGGTTGTTTGAATGCTCTATTGGATTGCTGGTAATAAACAGATTTCAAGTCGGAAAAATTTGAGGATAGATGAAATACGCCCACGTTAGATGCCTAAGATGCTCAAGTACGCTGATTCCACATCTGTCTTTCAAGAAATTAGATTCCATTAGTTAGATCAAACAATAAAGAGGAACACAGTCAACCCCATCTTTACTAAGGTGCGTTGAGATTGCGTAGATCTGACCTGAGATGTGAAGGTAAAAACATGGACTTAAATAACTCTTTTATATGCACTGTAAGAGGTGACGCTTTGAGTTAATCGCTACTTTAACTTAAGAATGATTTTCAGGCATCTTGAGTTTGTTGCTAAACTTAATGGGCAAATCAAATTGGTGAAAGGCCAATTCATTAAATCCGAGCCTAATTCCAAAATATCAAGCAGTAAATAAACGTGATAATTTAGGTAAATATGTAGAAATCCTGACATGACCAGACCACCTTTGAGTATCAAATACATCTTGGTTGTTCAAAATGCTACAAGTGAGGCATTAAACTTAAGTCGACGTATACAAAAGCAAAATTTTGAAGAAATCAATAGGACTTTACTTGCAAGGCTTAGTTTCCGTATTTCCGGGTGTTTGGGTTCCAGATATCCGCAGATCTGTGGATACATATCACCACTTTTTTGCATATCGCGTGTGATAAGTACAAGCAGGTAGGCGCCAGGCTCAACTCAATGCCGCCACTGCTGCACACATTTCACGCACAAGTTGGTCGATGATTGGTTTCCGCCTACTCACTGTGACCTTGACATCAGAACTGTATGCCACTTGTTCAAGCAGGTTGGGGTGCTACTGCACAGTGATGTTTCTTTATCTGAAGTACACCCTGTTAAGTATGCAGATGGATCCAGGACCCTTCATCTGAAATCTGAAGTCTATTCTCCGATCGAATTTCTAGCTATAACAGAATGATTTAAGGTTTCAAATCGGATTGCTTGCACCATGTTTGGTTTTTGAAATGACGAGGAATGAGGGGTGGGATGAAGATGATTGGAGATGTTAACTTGGGTAATTTTTCCTCCAGCTTCCGCAGTAGCAAACTCTAGGGATCCAAGAGTGAGACTTCCGGATGTTTTAGCTCCCCTATTTTTACATAGTCTGTAAAAAACACGGTGTGATGCAGCATCTCATGCACAATGCCTCTTTACAAGCCCGTTTCAAATTAAATGTAGGCGGATTGTTCAGACATCTCAAAATCGTGTCTTGGAAACAGTTTGCTTCACAGCCTTTTCAGTGGCGTCCATCAAGTATAGTTTGAATGAACCCGATAAGGCTCATCTTCATCTAATTTGGTTGTAAATTTCAAAAAAAAAAAATTCCCACTTTTATTTGTATTATTAAAGATATGAAATTAACTTACATAAAGCGTCAATGATTCTGCCTTCGGCTCTGTCTACGTTATCAGAGCGACAAGTGCAATGCGGTTGCGAATTTACCTCGCCTGGTTTTCAAGATGTGTAATGAGGACGTGTAGTGAAGCACAATGGCATTGAATAATGCTTCGCCATTGGTGTACGAAGGAGCTGGAAGGTCGTAGATATGTGTAGGATGCCATACCGCCAACATGATGATAAAGGCTGAGGTGACAGCGCTTCACGGGTATTGATCATACCTAACCGTGGAAGGTAACCCCTCCTTAATGTAAGCTTGAAAATAGTCCCTAAAAATCAAATGTAGTGTTTACTGTTTGCTTTCAAATTTGGTTATGTAAAGGTGAAATTCACCGCCAACAAAATTTAAAAGGGCTGAGACAAAATTTCGTCAGCAACTTCATATCTGTCATTTCCGTTTTTACATAAGAGCTCACAATTACCCAAATTTATCACCAGAGCAGTTTCCACAGGTGACGTGACATTAAAAATTTAAGTTTAAACAGCCTAATGCCATGCTAACAAATGCAGCGGAGGCAGCTGGCTGGAGTTCATCATGAGGCATGTTATGCTAATGGAGTTAATGCAACTTGATTTATACGTGAGCTGTTGGATTTCTTGATATTATAGTCTTCAACCTGGTGGTGGTGTATGCTTTTTGCGCTGGTGGTGTGCCACCAGTCACCCAGCCCTTCTTATACGCTAACAATAAAGCTACTTTCAAACTGGTACACCTTACGACACCTTCATAGATAATTTAAGCTCTACAACGCATAACTGGCAAGCAGAGGGAATTTGAAATCACCTTCCTGATAACCGACACTCTGGGGAAGCGCTGCATTAGGTTCACTATAAACCCCGTGGTTCTGATGAGGAAAATGCATATCTGTGCTGCTATTTGAGGTTGGGATAAACTCTCCAACGTGTAAGACGCTCTGATCATATTATTTTAATGGTGGTAGGATGAAGTATTGAGAGGCTATTAGAACACTGACTTCGTAATTGTGGGTTACAATGGCGTTCATCTGTGCCATTAAATGAGACAATTTCAAGCTATCATTAAACAAAGCGAGCGGTCCACTTTCCTCCAGTTCTACGTCTAATATGGTAGCCTCGATATTCAACTATATCCAAAGCCGCACCCAGTTCTGCTTGCTAACCATAACCTTCTCCCATAATGATAGGCTTTGTCACATCCCCAAGGGTGACTCAAAGTGCCAAAAATACTGTGAAGGTAAGGATGTGTTAGCTCATGGCAAATCACTGGAGCGGTTTCGTCTAGCCTATATACTTAATTCAGTGATGATTGTCAGAAAGAAGAGCAAATTTTTGTCAATAGGGGAATAACCATTTAACAAGTCGGACAATACAAGAAGTCTTTCGAGCGTTTCCGTCTAAAAACAATACTTTGAAGTGAAAACCAAAAAGCTTGAGAGGAGGCGTGAATTCAAAATCAAGAGATCACTTGTGAAGATGCCGAGGAGACTAAAGAGTGTTCACGTCAAACGGATAGTAAGTATCAGTCACGCCTTATAGCAGAATTAGAGTTATTTCGTGGGCTAAGTCAATCAAAATTAATTAGGACTCCAGGCAAAAAACGGGAGGTCATGGGTTTGAGAGAGCGCGTTTTGATTGTGCGCCTTCCACACGAAGGCAGGGAACTCGAAAAGGTGGTGAAATTCAAACAATTCCTACGGTAATGGAATACTTCGTGGTAGTAAGTCATTCAAATGACAAAAGGGTTTCAGTGCCGGCTGACGGCACACCTCTGTGCCGGTGGCGGTGTTGGTCGTGGTGGCAGCCAGACTACAGCACAGTAACCAGTCCACGTGAACCAGTATTCAACGAATAAAACACCTAGTCCTGGGCACCAAATTGGTGCTAAAAATTTGCCTAGACTGGTGAAAAAGATTAAATTTCCTTAAAAAACAACATGGGGACGCAATCCTCACTTTATGGCATTTTTTACTTTCATTTCCAAATGTTCCTGTTTAACACAAACTTAAACTTTATATTTATGGCCCAAAACATACTTATACCGCCTATCTATCAGTCTCCATGTTTTTTTTAGAGGATCAAATGCTTTAAAGTATCCGCCAGTGTAGGTAGGGTGCTGCACTGATGACAGCACCAATGAACTCGTTCTTGGGGGGTGGTTATCCTAATACTGTTGCCGTAATCTAGTGAACAAAAGGCATCAAACGTAGGTGAATGAATGTTTCGTGACTTTGGATAATAAATTATCAATGAAGTGCCTTAAATCCTTCCTGAAGTCAAAAAACTAATGGCACTAGGACAGAAAATGTATCGTTAACATGTCAAAGTTATGGGAATGGGCTACTGGTATGGCGTGGAGGTCGTGCCGCCCAGTATAAGCACAAAAACCGAGCTTTGAGTGCCCGCGAAACCAAAATGAAGAGGCTAACAAATAAATGGGGCATTACGTAGCCCCATCTCCTTTCGAGTGTCGTTCCCAATCCTCCCTTTGGTGGACCTCTCGTCCTGGCCAACACAAAAAAATAAACCACCCACTTACCACCCATGTCAGTCATAGAGTATATGACTGGATTTGGAGATTCGTCCAATTTGGAAACAGCCTTCGGGGAAGAACTGCATCTGCTGGCTACCTCGTTTGTCCACCGCCATTTGTAAGAACACTGGCTCTAAATCAGGGTCATTTGATACATGACCAGATTTTAAATAGTTTTGTGAGCATAAGGCATCGCATTTATCCCTCCTCGTCACTTTGTTCTCACTACAGTGCTGATCAGCCATGTCTTTCTGAGTTCAGTCTATCAAAGAAGCATAATCCATAACGCGCCAATATTTGACAACTGCCCCAGTCTCAAGCTTGACATCATGATGGGCAATAGAATTAGAATCCAGCAAAGCAGAAGTGCTTCCATTAATAATAAGAAAACAGTGGCCGACGTTGCCTCATTAATACCTAATCCCTTCTTTCGTTGAAAGATAGTGAGAAATCTCAGAAACGAATTTATATGGCAAAATTTGAGCATGATTAGTTAGCCTAAACCTTTGGACAAATGTCTCTGAAGAAAGAAAAAAGGTCACTGCAAAAATTCATCTGGCTTTAGGCAATATATAAAAAATGCTCAATTGTTAAATGATCACATTGTCAATTCATTTGGCTTAAATGGGCCTAAAGGAAAGCAGCTTTTTCCTAATAATATGCTGTC